ACTCAACTATTTAACTTTGAGACAGACTACAGACACTGACCTTTCTGTGTAGATGGTGTAACCATCCCTTCCCCTTGGTTTAGGAACGTGCACCCAAAAAGGCCTATATCAGAGTTCTGGGAACTCTACAGTGCAAGAGGCCTCGACTATCTGATCTTGTTTCCAGAAAATACCAACACGTAATGCTTAATATCTAAATTTATTATTATCTGATCACTGAGTTCACTTTATATGGAGCTTAGGATTTACTCATTTTTTTGGTTCATGAATATCAGTTTTCTTATTTTTTTTATTTTTTTTTATTTTTTATTTTTGGAGCTGAGGACCTGTGCTTTCTAGGCAAGTGCTCTACCACTGAGCTAAATCTCCAACCCCTGAATATCGGTTTTCATAATGGCAGGATGCCAATAATGGAGTAGAGAGAAAGGAGGTCCTCAGTCACGTCTGCTTATCACCTACTCAGAATACAAATGACTAAATAAGGTTTTGAAATAGGGAATGGAGTACCAGGTATCCAGTGTATCAGGAGCACACCCGGGGTACATTCTTGGGGATATTCTCTAACGGTCACCTAGGTAATAAACAGACAGGAAGCTTCTGGAAGTAAGCAATGTGTAATAATGACTGTAAGCTGTGCTCCTGCCTGAACTCCCAGGCTGAACCACACAGGACCCCAGGACAGACATTGGCACTCTGCCACCAGCTGAGATGGACAGAGCCGTTACTGAGCTGTTTCAACCCGATCTGTGTGACAGCGCTTCTGGAAGGTCACAGGAAAGCTTCCCAGCAACTCACAGTCACTGATGATTTCCAGGGAGGGCAAGAAGTACTTGTCACAGACGATAGACACTGCCATGAACATGTAGAGGATGATGAGGAAGTAGATTACTATGCCTCCGTCTGTGCTCTCCTGCTTCGTGAAGAACCCTTCCGGAAACTCCGATGCTGGAGAGGCAACACATTGCGTGCTGTTTCCTGCTAAGGAAAAGGAGATCACAAAATGTTGGAGTTACACATCTCAAGTCCACAAAGACAAAACTGGGGTGTTTGGATGGAATATGGAGAAATCGGTGGCCATGTGAAGTATGAGTATGATACAAAGCCTTACAAAGTCTTTGAAAGAGATTATTTCATGAAATAAGCTGATAGGGAAGAATCAAAGAATTATTACAGCACTTCTGCTTGTTGCTTCTAAATGGTATTTCTGAAACTGCCCAAGAAGAAACCATAGCCCCGGTGAGTAAAGGTTTCTGGCCACCGTCCAATGTCATTTTCTGTTGTCAGAGCCCAAGCTGTCCTCGGACGTTCAGAGAATCATTCCCTGCTGCAGAGTTTCTAGGAGGGAAGAATGCTCTGATCATTTCTCCAACAAATAAAAGTGCAGCCCAGTCCACCCTAGTCTCTGTGAACTACTGCAGAACGTTTGAGAATGCACTGGCTCATCAAGAAGCAGCCACAGAGCAGACGCAGCAGGAGTCGGGCGGGGTGTGTGGGGGGGTGGCATTCCCCTCTGTCCCATATTTAGATGTGAGGCTGGGGTGTCTGGACCCACTGCCCACCTACCTGTGGCCCTTGGGAGACGCCGGGGTAGGGAGGCACCACGGACAGGCAGGTATGCAGAGACCCAGAAGATCGCGAGCAGCAGGACCCTTCTTGTCCAAGCGGGGCCCCATTTCGTCTGCATTTCAGGCATGCTCTTTGCAGTGTGTGGTTCAGGAAGGGAGCAACCGAGGCTTATGCTGAATCATGTGAGGAGTCTCCTTCCTGCCCAGTGCCTGCCGGGGGGCACGGCTTAGGAGGCCAACACAGGAGTCTAGCTCCTCTGATCAGAAGACCCAAGCCCCAGGGAAGTTGGAGGAGTTAGGGAGGGGCGCAGATGAGCATCTCCAGCTGTTTCCACACGGGGTCTCTGAGAGCAGGCCCAGGCAGCCTGCATCTATGCTCATGCTGCATCTATTGAATGTCTTCATACTGACACTGCCCCTGACTTCCTCTAGACTGAGGACCTGGGATTGCTTGATACTGCCCCTGCTTTCTCTCCAGCCCTTGCTTCTAGGAATTGTTTGGGCTGGTGTATATGTACTGCTTGGCTACCAGGGCACCTTTAGTATTTTTATTTGGATCACTCATCTTCATCTCCAGTTAGAACTAGTGGCAGAAAGGTCAATAAGGAGGCGACTGTCCCAGTGGAACTGGGGAATGAGGGCAGCATGAATGAAGGCAGTAGCAATGGGCATGGAGAGAAGCCCACATGCCATGAACTATGAAGGAGACAGGATGGATGCTGTTTGATCATAGATCAGCTGTGCTTTTTGCCAGAAGGAGCTGTATAAAATGCTAATTGGACAAGGCAGCCAGCGTTCAGATACATTCTGTAGTTTGCCAAGATCCTGGAAAACCTGTGGCAGTGTTGTGGCTGATGGCACAGGATCTGAAGGAGACCTCATAGGTTGAGTTCTAGCAATGTGTATTAGCTGTGTGACCTAGGGCAAGGCACTTAACCTCTCTGTTCCTCCTTCCCACTATCTGTAAAACAGGGATTACCTACATTTGGGTTGGGTGAGTACTACATAATAGATGCATGTAATCTGTTGAGGACAGTCTCTTTCATGTGGCCAGTGTTCTGTCATCTTATCACTGTCTGTCTGTCTGTCTGTCTGCCTGCCTGCCTGCCTGCCTATCTATCATTATTTCTTGGGTTGAGATAAAAAGCTTCCACAGAGAAATTCTGTAGCTTTTCAACTGTTATGGTTCCTTTGCTTTGTACATAACATCGGTGTGGTGAGAGCGAATTATGTACATGTATGCAATGATCAAATAATAAGTTAACTGAAAAACTTTGAAAATCGACGTGCCAAGCCTTTGACGGAGAAACTGCTTCAAGCTGCTTCCCGCTGCTCATGAACCTGGAATACTGGGGCTTTGCTGGGAACCTCCCTGGTGTAAACTCCCAGACCCTCAGCTCTCTGCATGTGCCGTGTGGTGCTCAGGCTGGGACGCCGAGATATCCAAATATAGACAAGAAGAGTCTGTTCTCAGCAAGTGGAGCAGCAGCTGCCCACATGCTCACGGGAGCAGCGCCAGGTAATGATGGGGTGGGGACAGGGAGGCAGGCCGCTCGCTGCTGCTGCTGCTGCTGCTGCTGCTGCTGCTGCTGCTGCTGCTGACTGGATGCCCTTCATGATGTCCTTCTCAATACACAAACCAGTTCATACAACAAAAGCATCACTCGCAACTGGAGTGTCAGCAACAGCAGAAGCCCAAACACAGGGAGGCCTTACCAACACATGTCACCCGAGCTAGGAAAGGAAGTGAGTGCCAGAAGGTCCAAGCTCATGCATGACACACAGCAGAAATTCATGGCACATAGTAGGCACACGGGGAATATTAGTTGGTTGACTAAAAGAGTAATGATTCTTGGAAAAGGTCCCAGAAACATGCAAGTGCCCAGTCTAAATAAAGTAACCTATTAAACATGAATTTACCAAGAAAAAGGCGTTGGAGGTTAGATTGGCTTTAAATATTTATTACTCCCTTTGCGTCAGTCTTAAAAAATCTGTGAAACAAAATTAGATAAAGCCACATAAGTTAAGTGTACAGTTTTTGTTATAGTATTATGTATATATATTGAAGATCCTTGTAAACACCCTAGGTTAAGAAATAGAACTTTGTAGCCACCCCTAGTGCCCCTTCATGCACCTCAGCGTGGGCTTTGCTAAGGAAACCACTCTCCTGATCTGTGCTCTGGATGCTTTGGTGTATGTGTGTGTCTATCTGGTCAGCAGTATAATGCCCCTCACTGGGGACACCTTCAGGAAGCCACAGTCTAGTCCTGTCTCCACTGATGCCCTCTATGTGGGGTTTGGGATGCTGGCCTCCTTTTCTTCCCCCCTTCCCTTAGTTCTCAGCCACTGTCCTGACATCTATCTCCATGTGTCATCCTTCAGGCTGCTCCCGGGTGTGCCCTTTGGCTGCAGGTGTGCAGTTGCCTGCCAAGGCTTCCTCACACTCACCCCGATGGTCCTGGCCGAGTGCAGGTGGCACGCTCTCAGGAACCGCACCCTGTCTGCTGTCTCTCTCTGCCGTGCGAGCAGCCTATTCATGCTCATTCGTTAGACGCTTGGGTTCTTTGGAGTGTTCGAGAGGAGAGGCTGTCAAGGTGCTGCATCATTTTCAGAGGTGGTCCCTACCACCTCCTCTTTGTACCCAAAGGTGAGCAGTTAAAGATAAAGCATGCCCGAGTCTTTCCCACCAGCCACTAGTCCTCAAGGCCTTTATCTTCCTCCAACGTCGCTAATTAGACTGAAAATGGTTTGAGTTAACTAATCCGTTTAGATTTGGTGGGCTCTGATCGACTGCACTGGTTACTCCCTTTGAAGGCGGAGTTGCCTCAGCTAGGGGGAACCTTTTCATCATGCCTTGTGAGAGTCCTGACATGGTCTCAACTGCGTTCAGTAGCTTCCTCATCAACTGGTAGAAAAGGATGTTCCAGGCTTACCCTAGCGATTAGCACTTTTCCTCCAAAATGCTTATTTACTCTTTAAATTGAAAGCATTTCAAGGCCGGCGGGGCTGGGGAGATGTCGGATAAAAGTGCCCGCCACCAACCCTGATCACCTGACTGTGATCCTGGGAACCGTATGATGCAAGGAGAGAAGGGACTCCTGCAGGTTGTCCTCTGACTGCCACATGTGCACCTTGACATAGGCATGTGCACACAGATAAATAAACAAATACAATTAAAGCAGCTTAAGAAGCATTGCCAGACCTCGGTCTAAGAGTACATGTTAGAGATGCTTATTGCTACTGCTTCTTTCTCTGTGTCTCCGTCTCTGTCTCTCTTTGTGTCTCCGTCTCTCTCTCACATGCAAATTCATGGCCCTCTCCCTCTGTTGGTTTTTGGGACCCAGGGCTTCACTATGTAGTCTAGCCTGGCTGTCATTCGTCATGTATGACATCCATGACCCTCCTGCCTTATCTGACATCACAGGTAGAGTTCTGACAACTCTACCTCCTAATAAAGTAACTCGAGACTCCCCGTGACACCTCGCTTCAGTTCACAGCTAAGACTGTACATCAAGCCTTTTCTGCTCTAATCTGATGCCCCTTCTTTCATCTGCAAGGAGCCTGTTCTCATGAGCCTGGGGAATAATGGGATTAGGCTGGCCCCATGCTACCGTGAGAGAGTCCTGCCATGATGAACACATCCAGGAGGGACCCCAGTGGAACTTCCAGGGAGTCCAGCATTCTGATGCCCTCTGCTCTCCCCCTGTTCCGTGTGAGCACCACGCTTCACCTGAAGAGCTCAAGCGTGAGCATACAGCCTTAGCTCTGTCATTCCCGGTAGCTCCATATTGGCCTTGGACTCACAAGTGTGCATGTTAGATGTTCTCCAAGTCCTCAGGTTGATGTTCCTTTAAATATCTGGTGCCAGAAACTCATTTTCTCGATTTCGTGGAAGGACAAATGGAATGATAATGTTTGAGTTCTACCATGCTGAGAATTTTTTAAGGGATTCCTTTTTTTTTTTATTGAAGATTCTTCTCTCACACAATGCATCTCCACCACAATTTGCCCTCTCCACTCCTCCAAGCTCTCCCACCCCCCCAACTCTCCCCCAGATCCACTCCTCCTCTGTTTTCTCTTCAGAAAAGAGCAGGCCTCCAAGAGAGGACAGAACCGAACAAGATACTGTAAGACAAGGTGAAAGACCGCCTATCCAGGCTGGACAAGGCAACCCAATAGGAAGAAGAGTCCCAGGAGCAGCGCAGCTAGACAGAAACTGTTCGCTCACACTGCTCCCTAGGTTATCTTAAACATGTTACCTTGTTTTCTCCCATCATGAAGCACTGTTGATGAGGAGTTGATAGGCTCTTTCTTTCCTTTATGGGCCATGTGCCCCCTTTTTTGCATACTCAAAGGATTATTTTCTTGACCTTTT